CAGTGTATCAACTTCTTGAAGATAATAATATTATTGGTATTTATTTTTTTATATAATATATACCTTGATATTTTCATATAATTTTGATTTATTAAATAATATCAGACACTCCAGATGAAGTATTTGAAGTTTTAAAGTTATTTGGTCATACTAAATTCCGCCCGGGTCAAGAAAAAGCAATAATGAGAATTCTTTCGGGTCTTTCAACTCTAGTCACATTATCAACAGGTTCTGGAAAATCATTGTGTTACCAATTACCAGCATACCTATATGGTAAAAAATCCAAATGTATTACATTAGTCATTTCTCCTCTCATATCATTGATGGAAGATCAAGTAATTTTTAATCAAATACATATTAATATTAAGTATATAGTTTTTAAAAATGTAAAAAAAAAATGTTTAAGGTTGGTGGAATAAGTGCAGTAAATATAGCATGTTTGCATAATAATCAGACCCCAAAAGAACGGGATATTATTATAGAAAAACTAACTAATGGAGATCTATCAATACTTTTAGTATCACCTGAGGCTATTGTTTCTGGTTTTAATACAGATTGGTTATCAAAACTTCCTCCTATTGCATTTGTGTGTCTAGATGAAGCTCATTGTCTTTCTCAATGGTCTCACAATTTTAGACCATCTTACCTCATGATTTGTCAAGTACTTTTAAATATAATATAAAATATACAATATAAATTTAATTTTAAGAGTTTCTATTAAATTTTCCACTTTAGGTATTAAGAGAAAAATTTGGTGTTAAAACGTTTTTGGGTTTAACTGCGACTGCTACTGTTTCAACTGTTTCAAGTATTGCTAATGAATTGATGTTGGATGATGATCCAAGTTCGATAATTAAAGATATTCCTTTACCTGATAATCTCATGTTAAGTGTGTCAAGAGATAAAGATCGTGATAAAGCCTTAATCAACTTACTAAATGGAAATCGTTTTAAAAATTGTAGATCAATAATTATTTATTGTATTAGGCGAGAAGAATGTGAACGAATTGCTTCATTCATTAGAACCACTTTTCAGGTAATATTTCATGTATAAACTTAAAATAAATTGTATTATATTATAAATATATTTATATGTGTATTAATTAGTCTCAGCATATTTCTAATGGTAAACGGGGTCAGTTATCTCAAATTGCTGAGCCATATCATGCAGGATTAACTGCGGCCAAAAGGAAACGTACACAAAAGTATTTTATGGATGGTAATATAATTTAGATATTAATTTGTGAACAAATAATAATAATAATAATTATTATTATTTAGGTCAACTTAAGATTGTTGTGGCTACTGTTGCTTTTGGTATGGGAATAAATAAGGCTGATCTGCAGGGCATCATCCATTATAATATGGCTAAAAGTTTAGAAAGTTATGTACAAGAAATTGGTCGTGCTGGACGTGATGGAAATGTGGCACATTGTCACATGTTTTTGGAATCTGAAGTAGAATTTCTATTTAGTTGTGCCTTACATTTATAGTTTTATAAAATATTTATGTTATTTAAGGGGAATGATATTGCTGAATTAAGTCGTCATATATATTCAAATTCTGTTGATCGTGCGTCCATTCGAAAATTACTTGAAAGGGTGTTTGTTGAGTGCAAATGTAAAGAAAATGAATGTACAAAACATGAAGTAGTCTTTGAAGTAGAAGATACTGTTTCCACTTTAGATATGAAACAAGAAAATATTCAAACATTATTGTGTTACCTTGAATTAAATACTAAGAAATTGGTAAAAAATTTGCCATTATCTTATATTTTTTGCAAAATTACAAGTTATAAAGGACCATTATTTTTAAAAAATTTATCCAAGACTGTAAGTAAAATTCTCATTAACAATATAATATAGAAAATTAATAAAGTTGTATTAATTATTAATATATAAATAATCACTTAAATTTATATAGTGTCCACCTCTTGCTGTTGCTTATGCCCTGAAAGGAAGTTCCAGAAAACCATCAAATCAGCTTGAATTTTCAATATTTGAAGTAGCTTCTGCCATAGGATGGGACAGTGGTATTGTTAAAAAAGAACTAAAAAGCTTAGAATGGACAAACAGTAAGTTTTTCATCTGTTTTGTGCATTAATACTGAACTTAAAAAAAAATGCTTTTATCAAACAAACCAAGTTTACACAAGGTATCATCTACCCACAATTTTTATCTATTAGCATAATAGATCTATAGTAGCCATTTACTCCATTACAGATATTGTTTTAACAACACCTGTTAGTGCTCTGGTCTTTTGTATCTAATTTAAGTGTAAATTAAAAATGAAATATTGAACTGGTAATAAATCATTAAAAATGTACAATCCCTCTCCCTCTATATCTTGAACCAAACCTACAAAAAATTTATTGTGTTTGAATTTTGTTTCATAAAATATTTTAATATATTTTTTTATTTTTGTAGCCAATGGAAAATTTCATAAAAGTGGAGTGGCAGTTGAATTTTATTGTCTAGGATTTAGAGTATTAGCCCCTGGCAATATGGATGTAGAACAATTAGATTCAACTCTTTGCAATTTATATAGCATATCACATCAACAAGAAACAAAATCACTTTCCGAATTACAAAATTGTTTTGATACATTTATGAGGTAAGAAGATATTGAATTTTTATTTTTATTAATATTTGTTATTATTATGAATCTATATTTTGTCTAGGTCTTCAACATCTAGTTTTATTGAGTGTTGTGATGAGATTAATATAGAATTATGTGAAAAATTAAAGAATTATGTGAGGGAATATTTTACCATTGACAATTTATCAATGCTTATTCAAAAAGAACATGTATGTTATTAAATTTCATAATTAGATGTACGACTTTATTTTAATAAAATGTTATTATTTTAGGATGAAACAGTTTTAAATATAACCGATGAAACCCGAATTGCGTCTGATGTTAACCGTATATTCAATAGTTATATTGATTGTAAGTTTACTGCTCGAGCTGTAGCTAGAATATTTCACGGTATTGAAAGTCCAAACTTTCCAGCTTATGTTTGGGGACGATCTCCATTTTGGCGTATTCATATAACAACTAATTTTAATACTGTATGTAAAATTGCTCAAAAACAAATAATTTCTAATTTAAAATAATTTTTTATTAATATTTTTATTCTTTAAATTAATTTATTAAATTTTATCGAAGATTTATGATTATTTTTTTTTTTTGTATGTTGATAAATGACAATTTTACATATTTTGGAATAAATAAATTTAGTAAATATTTGTTTTTTTTAAAAATATTTTTAAATTTCATTATTTAATCTAAAAAATTTAAAACTCTAAATTTTTACAATTCTGTTAAAGAAAATATCTTAAAATAATACCATATACTAGGCCCAGAATAAAAACAGCTGTTCAGTTCACATGCAAACTCAAGAGACATCATTTTTAATGACTCATTTCATTATTTACTAATATTCATTATGTATTGATAGCTAAGAGTCCAGCTGGCTAGGTATAACAATTTGTAGATGAATGTTGTATTTTAATATAGGTTATATTATATATAACTGTGTACGTAAAGTTTTATAAATAAAAAATTGTTTTATACCATAGCTGTATTTTGATTTTTAAATTGCCTAATTTATTACTAATTGTATACATTTATACTTACTATTAATTGATAAAATGAAAATATAATTTATGAATAATCTGATAAGGTTAACAATTCTAAAATGTGTTAACTTTCTTCATATTATAATTATTTAATTAATTTAGTATATGGCTCTAATAATTCACATTTTAATAACTTTATGCAAATGCATTAATAATATTAAAGTACAATAGAGATTCTATATTATCTTTTATTAAAATCATTGGCTTATATATTTGTAAGCCGATATTTGTCTTGAATGTTATAATAAAAATTGACCAACTGAATAAATCAAATTAAATTTATCTTTAAAATGTATAAATGTTACTTACATGACATGACTTTATAGGTTATGGAATATATAAGCTGATACAACTCGTGAAAACATATATTTATCAAGGAATAACTTACACAGATGATATATAAGTCAAAATATATTACAATACTTTGGTTATGTTTACTATATTTACACAATTCAATAATTAAATTATTTAAATAAACTAAAGATAAACAAAATTAAAATACTATATTTTTATATAGATAAAATCAATTAACTTTGGCAGTAAAAATATGTTTACATTTTTTACAATTCTGTTGATTAGGTAAAAAAAGAAACATATTATCTAATTGAACATGTTTGTCATAACCATAGTATATTATATTATACCTTCTGTGGTTAAATTTTATTTTTTGAAAAAAAAAATTATAGTATAATGTATAAATAAATAAATAATTCACAATATATATATAATAATAATAATAATAAATATTATTTAATGTTTTAATAATGATACTTATTAATCTTAAACATTATTGACTTAAATTTTAACGTCAAAAAAGGTAACATTAAAAATAATACATATTATTTATAAATTATTATATACTTATACGTTCAATGTTTGGCAAATATAAAATAGGGGATCTTGTATCTTATCAATAAAAGGAGACTAAAAATGATAATTTTAATTTTTCGATTAGTTTAAAGCTTTATTTATTTAACTGTCAGTCATCGATAATTGTATTCTAAAATTAAAAAAAAAATTGTAGGCACGAGAATCAACTACATAATACTATGCATTATGTAATAAAGTAACTGAGATGAACAAATAAAAAAATAAAATGATACAATTTTTTATTTTTTAAAAGCTGAAGGGTTATTTATTTAAATTTTTTAAGGATTTAAGTATTGAAGTAGGTATTTTGAAGAAATATAAATCGAATAATGTATTTAGGTACATATAAGACTATCCACTAAAATAAATTAACTGCCATATATTCCATTTTATGTCTAATGTATATATTATAATATATAGTATACTTTATTTACAGATTTTTTATTTTAATTTTTTTATATTTTAAATAATACAAAAATATGGATTTGGATTATCCAAAGAACTTAAATATAATAATTGCATTTTTTTATAGTTAATGATTTTAAATGTAAATTAATTAACTGTTGTTTTTGTAAACCAATTAGAACTTAGGTGAATGAAATATAGGTGTGAACTTTATAGCTGTGTGGAAATTCCATTAGTTAAAAAAATAAAATAATAATAAATCATTTAATTCGGGATGTCGGATTGGTATATAACGATTTTTTATTCGAAGTACGTTTTTGTATTTATAAAGCAATCACCAATGCTTTGATATCTGTTTAAATCAAAAATAAATTTATTTGAAACCAACTTCAATGATAATTTAAAATCACTGTTAATTGATTGTACAAAAGATATTTGTCATAGTTTATCTTTTATACAAATATGTTCAACCAAATATCAAAGCAATCACCCAAAAAGTAATATTTTGAAAAAATAAATAGAAAATAAAAATAATTCGTGGAACAAGTTTCCTCGGAAGACGTATCGATTTTATCATTGTTTATGGTGTCTCGTATTAAATAAAAAAATAGTACCTATTTAAGTCTTTGGTATTCATAAAACTGAGGGATTTGAAGCCGTTAATGTTTATGTGACACGCTGAATCGCAGTGAAACGAGTGTGCTCGTTACATTGCGGTTTTTTAACAGCTGCAAACACTCATTATTACGAAAAGTACGAAAATTTTTTGAAATATTTATTCCGGAAAACTGAAAACGTTTGCAAACTTAATATTATTTATTTATAAGCATTTAAAGTTTAGAGGCTACGATGGGTACACGGCGAAACATTTCGCGGTCAGCTGCCTGTACTCCGCTCGTCATCTAAACTTTAAATGTTTATTGATACAAAACAATTTGCTCACAATATTCGATATTTGTAGATGATAGGTGAGGGGTATAGGGACATTAATTTTTTTTCCAACAAGTGTATTCTATTTCAGTCGACAAGATTGAAAAAAAACAATACCCATATGATATATCATTATATGCCTAATTGCGTATAGGTCATGCAAGTACTTTAAGTTTTCCAAAAGAATGAATAATTTTCGAAACAACGAGCGATTCGGTCGTGATTAGTATATAATAATAAAAGTAGGCTTACACCTAACAACTTACTAACGTTTAACTATATATATATATGTATATGTGTGTGTTTGTATATAAATTATATAATATTATTATTATTATTATGACCGCGCGACGACGTCAGCAGCTGCTGCAAATAATAATTATTGTTATACTGCGGTACAAGTCGCGTGCGACGTCTAAATCTCATCCGTAATAACTATAGCAGTCCGCGCGCACCATCAATCAGTACCGGTTGGCCGCCCTGCTCTGGTGATGGTGATGGTGGTGGTGATGCCTGGACGACTTCTTGTTGTGGTCCATCGGCCCGGCTGTTGACCGCGGATGGTACACGTCGTTGACGACCAGCTCGGACCCGTCGCGCATGCTCTCGACGCGTGGCGACCCCTCGGCCGCGGTGTCCTTGCGCCGGCCGCCCGCGTGATGATGATGGTGGTGATGGTGCGGCCGCGAGTGTTTGGGCGACGCGGCTGACTGGTGCAGGTTCTCCCACGCCTGCCTGTAGTACCGGTTCAGACCGCCCCGGCTCTCGGAACCGGACGAGTCCAGCGAGGCGACCGTGTTAGTATCCGGCGACGCTCGGTGCCGGTAATGTTTGGCACTGCGGTTCCTGCGGATGGGCACGAGATAAAAAAAAAAAAAAATTCTACGTCAATATTTAGGTAGACATTGTAAATTATATTATATCGTGACTGAGAAAGTGATGCGTTTAAAGCCCGTCGACTTGCAGTTATTATTCCTTAAAAAAAAGTCCGACTTTCGTTTGCCGCCAAAAATAATCTCGATACTATCATCGTGATTATAATACATCATGGGAATTGACTAATTTTTTTAAAGTAAAGAGCGTAATAAAAGTAATTTATGTAAACGTCATCAAACGTACCGACGAAATATTTATAAAAAAGACCAATCATTCATATTTTAATACGTATAGGGTACATCTACATGGCATACACCATACCTGATTTACATAAGTACATTTTGGGTCTTGTGAGTTGTGAGAGGGGGTGAACGGAAATCCTTGGCATTTTAAAATTTCAAATAAGTACTTTAAATACATCACATAAATATTAATATCAAACATTAAATATATGTTTTGATGTTGATATTTTTTATAGCAACATTTTAAATTTCATAAATTTTTATTAGGTATCAAATCGAAAACTCAATCTTGTATAGGACATAGGTAACTATTAAATGTTTTCTGTTGATATTTGATTCACAATAGAATTAATAATAATTTATCTGTTTAAGGTTTTACTAATTTAATAAAATGTAATTATTATAAAATTGAAATGTGTGGATTTCCGTTGTATCTCATATTTTGTTTTGATTTAGTGATTATTAATAATTAGTAATAACTATCAAAGGTATTAGGTGTAACGTCATTATTTTTGGCTTGAATGAAAGTCGAACCTTTTTAAAATTTTGGCATTAATAAAAAATCATTATATTCTGGCGAAACATCACATGAAAAGTACAAGCGTGCGCACTGATTTTTTTTTTTTTTTGTTTGACAACCATCGTTGTCTTTGAGAATTTCACTCGGTAATTTGAATTCGTATCGCAGTATGAATTAATTCTAGACACTGCGCTATACTGCCTCCACCACAATTTTTAACACGTTTCGAGCTACACCGGCATCAAACCGTATTCATTGCGCGCGCCTAAACGCGAATCTCCGTGGTCATCAACCGATCCAACTTCGAAACTGCAATAATCCCGTGCTGCCGTACCCATAACACTAAGTATAAAAGCGTGCAAAGAACAGAAGCGTAATATCGTGCGTCAAAAACGGTGCGCCATAGTGCAATATTATTATTATCGTTACGACAGTCGGACGAGAACAATGCAACGACAACAACAACGACAGCAACAACAACAATAATGATGACGATAATAACAATAACAATAACAGTGCGATTAGAAAACGTTGCGGTGATACATATCATCAGTCGTACCTTAGACTTATGGGTTTCGGGTAGGTTTGTTTTTGTTTGGTTTTGGTACCACGGGTACACGTTAAAGTTATAGTGTGTTTATCGGTGCGCGGTTATATTTGTCATAGCGGGTTAGAGAAATAGCCAGCTCGGCTTCTATACGCCCTAGAGAACTGACGCCGTCCGACTTGCTGGTCGGGGAACGGCATTGCCAGAAGTGTATACCATCGGGACGGCATGTTATGCGCACCAGACGGAAGTTTGTGGTTCCTATTGCTGTAAACAAAAACAAAACAGCCCACATGTAGCAGCCGACAAGCGATTTTTGTTGTTAGTCGCACAGACACACAAGGATTTCAGACGCGCACACGGTTTTTCTTTCTTTAAACATAATTCCTAACACTGCTGCCGCAGCACGCCGTGTAATAATAATAATAAAAAAAAAAAAATCACGTTACCTTTTCACTAGTATGACGATTGTGGTCACCACTGCTGCCAGGAACACGAATGCTCCGAACACACCCAACGCGATTATTGCTCCTGTTTTATACGAACACACACAAAAAAAAAAAAAAAAAAATCAAAAAAAATCGAAGATATTATAGTTTTTACTGTTTACGAAATCGAATTAGTGTAGTAGCTTACCCAAATTTAGTTTGGGGCCGATCCGGTGTTCGCTTTCCACCTGAGACGGTATGTTGGCCGCGTTCGGATTTGTTCGGACGTGAACACTATCTGGAATCTCGTTGTCATGCGGATGCGCTGAGGCAATTACCACATTGGATGACGTCTGGCCGCTATCGTCCTAATGAAGTGAAAGTAACATTCGCTCAGTTTACGGTTGATAAAGCACCGAATTTTCAGATTTGAACTAATAATCTCGGATAAACTATATATATCGAGCTTGCTACAAATTTGTAACCCAAAGAAAGTGTCTACTTTTCTTTATCGTAGAATTCACAACATAGTAAATTAACATACCTGGTCGTTAGCTGGTTTCGTTAATAAAGTGGGCTTGGTTGTGAACGGCCGTGGTTTTTCACGATTAGGAGTTGATGGCGCACGGCTACTAGGAACAGTACTAGTCGATACAGTCTTGGTTACTAACACGGCTGGTACAATTGGTGTTTTGGTTTCTTCTGAATAGCAAATATTTATCGTTCAATAGTATAATAAATAATCGAATACAGTTTGTTGGACGGAGTATAATAAATAATTGCAATACTAACCTTTACAATAAGGTGGCTTATTATCGTAATGACCACTTGGTAAACATACTAATTGCTTAGGTCCGACCAAACGGAATCGTTTAGACACACACGTATACTCTACTAATGTTCCAACAATACTATCATTGTTTGACATCTGGTATTCACCATTAGGAATTACTGGAGGATCATCACATTTTTGGACTTCATGAAAAAATACATAATATTTTAATAAAATAAAAAAAACGAATAAGAAAATTATTTGTATTACCTGTACACTTTGGAGGGGGTCCATCCCATCTTTCATCTAAATCACAAATTAATCTATCTCTGCCAATTATTTTATATCCCTCATTGCAGGTGTATTGTACTTGACTTAAGTAGTTGACGGTACCATTGATTAGCTTATAACTACCGTTTGAAATGTCTGCAGGAAAACCACATTGAATTCCTATAAACGAATAATGAGGATTAGTATTTAGTTTTAACTTTTAAATTTTTTTAAATATTTCTTTAAGCTTACGTTTACACACAGGTGGAAATTCGTTATAAAATCCTGTTCCGAGACACGTGCGAGTAGACGGTCCGATCAACAGGTGGCCCTCATCACAAGAATATTCGACTGCAGTGCCGACATTGAAATTTTCAGCAATCATTGTTGAATTTGGGGGTTGCTCTGGCCTACCACAAGCAGTTGGTTCTACGCAAAAAACATTTAGAGACATTTTATAACTAAAATAATTACATTTTATTCTCGCACGAGTTATTTATTAATTATACTAAAAATAAATTAATACGAACGGTGTTGACAAATGAAATTTAGTGGAACATTGCAATTTGTATCTGACCATAACCATCCTTTGGAACCATCAAATCGTGCGCAATCGCCTCCATTGATAGATGTTGTTTCAGAACCGCTTGAGGGTAAACTCCAAAACGATACTGTTTGATCTTCACCGTTTAGCCATTTCCAATTATTTTTGTTATGTGTGTCTCTTACAGCACCCATCCAATATTGACTTTGTGAATCACTCCTGGAATTAAATATTTAGAAAGAGTTATTTAAATATACAAGTGTAAATGTTTGTATAATCATATGCATACATTATATTATACAACATAGAGGTGATTCACCAAGCATGATCAACCATATATTTACTTAGATAATGAATTTATTTAAATTCTGATTTTCGAAATTTTCTTTTATATTTAAGAACCAAATTGTCATTTTTTAATTTTTTTTTAACAATTTAAAGAGTGCTCCGTGTTTATAAAAACTTCTTTTTTTCCAAATTAGAATTAATGTTTTTACTGTAAATTGTTAAATCGATAATATTTTTGAAACTATTGATATACATTTTAAATCAAAATCCAAACTAGGTGTTTCAAAGTTATTAAAATACATATACTAAGAATAATAGACAATAGACCTTAAATATAATTTAATAAATATTTAAAATATGATTAAATATTAAATCTAGTGCTTATTATAATCTGAACATTTTTTTAATTATAAAATATTAATAGATTAGTATGAAATACGATAATTTTCAAATTATTAAAGCCTCCATATCTACCAAACCTATTATCGCGAACCTTATAATCTTGATAGATAAAGTTTAATAATCTAAAAACCACTCATTCAAATTTCAATTTTAACATCAAAATTTTCTAAAAGTTTTTGACTTACTAATTAGTAGAATTAAACAATAATTTTCATTTGAAATAAATACATGGCATTCTCACAGGATACTCATTAAATGGTATAACAATTTTTAAGAATTGAAAATGGGACATTAATAATATTAAAAATTCAAAAAATCAGAGTTCATATAAATTTATAACCAAAGGCAAAATTGGGGATTAGCGCACTTGATAAATCTTAGTAAATCACTATGTATATTATACGTTAGGCTTTGATAACATTGATTTTTTATTTAATTACATATTCATATAAAATATATTTAAATTCACCTGTGTCTTCTCCACAGTTCCCAGCTGACAAATCCCTGTAACGCGGGATTACTTTCGTCAACCAATGTGCCACCTCTTGATCTACAAAAACTTAACGCGTCTCTTAAATTCATTGGCTGACGGTTATAAAATATATAACATTTTCCGTTATAAGTAGCAGTACTTCCTGGTGGTTGATCTCTGAATTGTGGACATCTTTCAATTGGTAATGCCTAAAATATACAAGAATGATATTATAAGTCATTAACTCAGAACTATTATTCTAAATTGAAGTAAGTGACTTGAATTACCAATATATATATATTTTAAATACAGATAAAGTGTTTTTCTGTAGTAATAATTTCTAATACTAAATCTAAATGTTGCCATTTCATGAAATATCTAGATACCAAACCGATAAAATATGTTATACATAATTTATCTAGGTATTTTACAAATTCACAGTTATTGTTCAGTTACATAATGGATTATCCATATTTTTGTCACTTATTAGCATGTATAAGTATACGTAAGTTATTTTGTAAATTTATAGGCATCACTAATTTATTGTACCCCTAATTTATGTAGGTACGATAACTAGTTATTCTATACATTTTTTAGATAAATTATTTATTTAATTTGTGAGTATAATATACTTAAACTGCATCATTATTATAATTCCATATTAAACCAAAGAATAACGAATTCAAAACCTTAACAATAACATATTAAGTATTATGTATTAACTATCATGTATCTATGTTGTATATACATTTAAAATGAATATTTAAATACATTTTGAATTAATAAAATAAAATTAATATACTTAATTATCTAGATATTTTATTTTTATATTAAAATAATTTAATTTCTATAAGCTTACTTGATCGGTATAGACAAAAGCTTCACATATTGATAACTGAGTGGTTCCACTAGCTGTTTCCATGTGGACACTAACGAATGCTCCTGGCATAGGTGGATTGCACGGGAGGAACAACGGTTTTCCTTCGTCAATAAAGCCAGTGAATCGGTTGCATATAGGATTAGTGCCTAGGTCAGGCCTGTTGTTTCCCACTCGCACGACTATCGTAGCAGGTTTATTTTTACCTGTAATAAAAGCTAATATAAGTTAACAGACAACAATTATATTTTATTTATATACTTTAATGTAAACAATAAGTAATGTTTATCGTGTCATTATGACAAGTCTTATTACTTGAGAAATTTTTAGACCATGTGAAAAGTTATTTTCCAAAAATCAAATGTATTTTCATTGTTTTATTATACAGAAGTGACAAATAGATAGTTACACCAATGACTATAATATAATATAATATAATATACTAGTATATAGAGGGTACAACTTTCTTTGACCGGTTTTTTGTGCACGTTTTTCGCACGTGCTAATAGAATTTTGAATGATAATATGAAAAAAATTGGTTTTATTCATTGTAACTAATTTATCAAAAATACCTTTATGAATACAAATAACTCAAAAGTAATATTATATTTATATTTAGATTAACAAAATTCTTCCAAGTGAAAACAATCGTGAACTTCTCTATTTTTTTTTATAAAGTACCCTAATAGTTTATAGAATAAAATGTATTGTTGAAATATTTTCTTTTCTGCATCATTTCAAAATTTAAGACATTGACTTAAGTTTAGTAAAAAATAAGATTTTACAATTGTCTATCTACATTTTTATAAATTAAATTAAAAATAAAAAGTCGAACATTAGCAGTAACCGACATATTATGATAAAATATTTTACAATTTACCTATTTGTATACAAGCTTGAAAATAAAAAAAAAAATTAAAACGATCATTAATAAAAATAACAAATTCTTGATTAAAAAATAACTTAATAAACAATCAAAAACAGACAACAGTATCTGCATATATTAATTAATGATTGAATACAATATTTTTTCTAAAACTATAGCAATTTTGGACAATTACTTTTTTAGTAGTACTCAGTATTTTGAAAGTATTGTTATATAAAGTTAATTTATATATTTAACACAGTTTTACAAATCAATGTAAATTAATAAAACTAGAGAAATCAAAATCTTTATATAGGTTAAGAAGCGTTACTGACTGTAATTTTTTACTAAGTAGCTAGTTTTATTGCTTTAATAAAATAATTAATGAAAAATATATTTTATGTATCCATGTTTTTTTGAAATATTATTTATTTATGACATTTGATAAATTATTCAATTTTCTTGATTATTTTTAATTTTTTTAAAATGACCTAAAATTATATTCTGAAATTAAATTTATATAATGATAGTCATTAGAAAAATGTGATCAAAACTTTCAAATTACTCGATGCATTTTGATAATGGTGTCTAATGAATTATTTTGATGTAAAATATGTTGAAAGGTAAGTATCTATATAGTTTAAATTTCTCATTATATTGTGGTCAATGTCAATATATAAATAATTTAACATACCTAAAACTTAACTATTATAAATAATTGATTATTTCTGTATAATTCGTATACGTCTTGTAAAAATTTGAACATATTGTTAACTTAGGATTTTGAATTTAATTTCACACACTATAATGGAAACACTAATAACTATGATATATTTTTTTAGTAAAATAAATGTTAGTCATTTAGGGTAAAATAATTGTATATTTTTCATTTATATTCTACTTACTTGGATATAGTTTTTTTTTATTAATATTAAATCCAAATAAACTTGGAAACCTAACGATCTACTCAATAATTATATATATTATAATAAATAGTATTTAAGAACTGAAAAAAAAAATTTCTTTATAACAATATGTTAATTGGTAATTTTACTAAATAAATGCATCTTAGGTTTTATATTATCAAAGAGTAAAACCTTAAAATTTAGAATGGAATTAATTTGATAATTATAATAACAGGAGAAAATATTTTGGTATTGATGCGAATTGATCATATAATTATAAAAATAATGATATAAATAATATATTTATAAACTAAGTATAAAAAAATAAATACAATTTTAAACCTATTTAATACTTTAATATTCCTACTAATATCACTTTTTAATATTGATTTATAATGATCACTATTTCCCATTATTATTTTACATTCCATTATTTAATCAATTTAAAAATGTTAAGTTATTTTCTTTTATAATATTCAGGATTTTAGTATAATTACCTAATTTGCTACTGTCTACTAACTGTGTTATTAAAATTAGAAATAATTTAACGGATGTTTATTTAAGGTTTTTTTGTTAACCTAAAATTTGCAAACAGTTAAAATAACTTTGTCTTGATAATATATTAAGTAATGTATTCTCTTAAGCGGTATTAACATTATTATATTATTTTTAAAGTGTATTTTTTTAGGTTTAACTTTTAAGTAAATATATTTGATGATAAATAAATTAAGTGATATTATGTCGCTTTTTATTTTTACTTCGTTATCAATAGGGCTTGGAAGTTGTAGGAGCTAAAGAAGGCAAAATATGTATGAAAAAATTACAAAATATGTATTAAAAATGATGTTAAATATGCAAAAAAATTATTCTAAATTTCAAAAAAATAATAATTAACATAAAAACTGTTTATAACTGAAAAAAATTATAACTGGTTGGTATTTTGACATCTTATTGAGTTAAAAATATAATTAAAAATATTTTTTCGGTATTTTTGAAATTACAATAAATACCTTCGTTGATAATTTTGAGCTTTATATTCAGTTTTAATTGAAATATACAGGCTAAGAAAAAAAATTTTTTTAGAAAAATATGAAATATGCATAATATGCGTATAAAATCAATGAAATATACACTTTTTTTTAGCTAAAATTAACAAAATATGCATTTTCAATTTTTTAACTCTCCATTGTATAGTTCAGATTTCTAGCTTGGTCTGCTATAAATTGTGAGCATATAGAACAATATGCAATTCTTACAACTTTTGAGCCCTAGTTATTATATTATTAAAAAATTTAGTTCAAATAATTTTGAATATATATAATTTAGCGAAAAAAAAACATAAATAATGTACTCAATTTATACATTACTTTGATTAAGATTTTAACTTATACTGGATTTAATTAATTAATTAATTTATACTGTTTTATTTCATTATGCTTCATAATATTACCAATTATTTTCTTATCGCTATTACAAAATTTTAATATTATGACTTAAAATTTTACATTACAATAATTTATCAACTAAAAAGATTTCTTATTTTCGTTTAACTATAATAATAATTTTAAATTAAAATACTCACCACAACAAGCTTTTCCGAAATCCAGTCTCACTAACTGAACCATGTATGGTTCCAACAGATTAACATACCACCATGGGGTACGTTCCGGTTTAGTGAGTGTACATGTTTCGGGGCTGAAAAACGAACTGGTGCTACCGTCGATGGCTTTTTGAGGTAGGCCGCCGGGTTCTGAACTGATTTGCATAGGCGCTTTGCCTGCAGCCACATTTAATACTATACAAAAAAATACGAAAAGAAATTATCTATCGATGTAATATAACTAATGTCATTCATAGTGAAATCTAGTAAAACTGGTGTAATTATAAGATAATGTAATTTATGAGTTTTAGTATTATAGATTAGTGTATTTAAAACGAAAGTACTATAGCGGCAAAAATATTGGATCATTGAAAAATAAGTCTTTAATCCAAAAATTTTACACTTAGGTATTATCTAAAATTTTATCATCCTACTTTCTTTCATAAGAATGTGAACTGTTTAAAAATAATATTGCCATAAGATATTTTAATCAAATAAAACTAATTTATTCAAATATTATATGTTTAATATATATTAGGTGTTATATACACCAACTAAATACTATACATAAAACTACATGATAATAACTTAATAATTAATCTATCAATGATGTAAAATACTCAAGCTCTAAATAATCATATTACTTCACTTTTTAGTTTGTGCGTGAAAACCAAAACGAATTTGCCATATAAAATCATAAGATACTATAGCATCATGGTCGTATCAAACGATCGAGTTTGTGGGTCATAGAACATGGATCAGCGTAAACGTCGTTGTTCTTACCTCAATCATAATAAAAGTAACAATAAAAAATATGTTTAAAGAGAAAGAAAGATAAAAAAGAAATTTTATCTGTTATTTTAATTAGATATGGGTTTTTAATTACCAGTATTAAAAATTATTGTTTTTGTTTATATTTGTTTGTGTTATGATATCGTGTTTACTTAAATTTATTTTCTATTTATAACAATACAGACTACATGAAATTAAATTTGAAGTCCATATTTATGTTACATACACATAATAATATAATATCATTTGTATGATACACATAATACATCATGGTGATAATTTATTTAGTTTTTTAACTGAAAACTAATATTGTATTTGTTGTATTGGCAGTTTATGTACGGATATATAATATACTTAAACTGTACAGTCTGTACATCGATTAAAGTTTTCCGGAAGAAGTCGCGCATGATCCTCCAAGGAGAATTCAATTTGTTTTGCTTCGGTCGAGCAATTATTATACGTGTACTAACACAATAACACGAAATCGGGTATATATATATTATAAAGTATAATATACCTACTTATATGCGCGGTGGCTGAGTGGAAATTTTGCCTTAAACGTTTTTGTACTATAATATAATAATAATTTACCGGATCACTTGAGCTCGTTATTTTTAGTTATAATGTAATAGTAATAAAATATAACACAATGTGTCGCAAAAATACAAAAGAGAACAGAGAAATAATTGCATTATAATATTTAAGTATCTATCATAGCCATCATGACTCAAAATCGACTTAGGAAATTTCCAGTACACACTTCGTCATGTAAGTGCACGTATATATATATATATATATATATATATGTCTATAATATAGTAGTACCGTGCATATATTTATATAATAATGTATGCGTTTGCACGGCGTTATAGCCTGGAAACTTTCCTATATGTAGGTCTTCCGGCCGGATGGAACGCAGCCAGTGAAAGCGGAGGGAGTGGTCATGGTCCGTATGATTCAACCTCCTCGTTGGTTGGCAACAACACAAACCCTACTTTATTAGTAGTGTCAACAGACATAAAATACCATCATTTTTCCTAATAATGGAATTCCTGACCACGTCAGCGCAGAGACATTAAGATAGAATTCCGACTGTTAATAATCACATAATTGGCTTTTAGGTACCTTAACATTTTACATACTAGAGAAACAATTTTCTCCTTACAACGTTACTGAAGTATCTATAGTCCTCCTTGAAAATGAATCATTCAGTACAACATATAATTTTACGTTGTGATTAAAACTTTTAACTTTGTATGTATATATTATGTAAAAATATTAATTAGGCAATAAAATCCATACCACACCAAGAGAAATCAAAATTAATAAAATATTTAGATGCTGCATACGTTTAATATATAGAATCTATTTCAAGTAAAAACAATATCTATTTTCGATTTTATTAGTTACTTAATTATTTGCCATTATCACTATTTACACTGAATAATGTAAACTATATGAGCTAGTGAGAGTAAACTCACCTCCAGTTTTTGATAGTAAAAATTTGTAAATAGAGTATTGATTTTTTAAATTATATAAAAATATATAAATCTATTTAAAAAATAGGTTATTTTTATTCTTGAGAACTTTAAAAAATAATCTTAATTACGCTATATAATATACTTATGAAGGAATGATTTTCATTCAAAGAATGTATTATTTTTTTTTTTTTGTTTCATTTTATTTCATTAATAATTTATGCAAATTTGTAATTTAACCTTTAAGTAAACAATTGTTTTTCCTTCAAAGTAGTTATGATAAGATAGCTTTTAAAAAATATTTTAAGTTATCTTTATTCTACATAATATTTATGATCAATTCGTCAATAAATAAATATTTACACTTTGCTATTTGTATGCTTTTAAAGAATGCTCCCCAATAACTTACTTTGACTTTATTCTTTGTATACGATAATATTATAGATACGATAGATACATTAATTTTTACCTACAGATTAAATTGAGCAGTGTTTAGTAAATTAATAAAAAATTATCAGTAAAAATAATTGAAGCTGATTATCAAAATAAAATTGATCTTTTTTCTACCAAAAATTGTAGACCAGAGTTAACATTTGATTATTAAATTAAAATATAACAAATAAATAAATAAATATTACATCTAGTAATTTAAAAAGAAAAAATACATATAAATTCTATACTTTGATAACTGATATTTATAAATTCATTTCATATTAATCTCTTTATACCATTTTGAACACCAATAATTGAATAATATGATGATTAAAAATTGTTTAGAGGTTATTGTCATAAATTCAATCACGTCTTATAAAAAAAAAACATTTTCACATATGATCATTGTTTAATGTATTAAACTATTATAACGGCGAACAAAAATAATGATGATGATTATATTGGAAACTTATTGACGAAAAAATAGTGGTCGTCAATAGTTCTTGGCTGAACAGACGAATTGTCGGAAAACCTAGAGCACGTTTCAAGTGAGGTAGAACCGGTTGTATATTCGTCTGATCGATTTTTTTTTTCACAGTATTCTTGTCTACAATCTACGAGGCAAATGAAAAATATAACCGACGTGCTTTATTCAATCGGTAAAGAAAATCATCATTTTTAAACAGCATCTGTGGTTTGTGCAGTTCCAAATGAGTGGACTCGCCAACGGACAAGCAAAAAAACGAAAATTACACTGTACTATTGTGACTATTGTTGATCGACTCCTTCTTAAACCCCGATGATTGGTCGTCAGGTCATGCAACTCTTGTTACCTTTTACCCCTAATAACAAAATTGGCTAGAATATATTTTTATTTCATTTAAGTATTATTAAATATGTTTTGACAGAATTGTACTCGAAATATTTAATTGTTGCTATACTTAAACTAATTTAGACTTTCGAAAAATTAAAATGCTATATATAATTGAAATGACCAATTTTTTGTTTGTTACGTACATAATATATGTATTAACAGGCTACTGAGCATAACAATGAAAATGGGCTCGTTACTGTTACTTTCATACATAGACGATGTTGTTGTTTTTTGAATAATGTTTGAAATATAAATGACCTGCTGGGAGATAATGTTATGACCCCTAGGTAAAAGTTTCACTTGCGTGATCTATTGTTTCACTTTACAAAGCATATAACTAAAAAACAAAATGAATGCAATCTGACATTAACCAACAACTCAGAATTTAGAAACAAACAGACCTAAAGTTAAAAAACGCATTTTGATAAATAAAAGAAAACGGAATATCAATTGTTCGGAATGTTCTATTTATCTACTTCAATGATTTTTTATTTCTTACTTGAAATCGAAAAATATTATCATTCTTTATTTAATGTTCACGTATATATATATAAATGTATTTAGACATCATGATGAATATAATTATTTATAAATCACGAACAAAATCGATCACAATTTTTATCAAACTATGCTACTTCCAAGGCTCTGAATCATAGTAATGTATCAACAAATTATATAACCAATACACTGTGATTATATAATAAATAGGTACTATATAAACATACACATTAACTTAGGTATGTGGATAAAATATTTATTTTTTTTTTTTCACAAAGATCAACAAATATGTTACTATAGTTTGGGGGAGATTTATTTATAATTTAAAATGGGTGGATTTCAAGAAAGTGGAACAACTGGTTTTTGAATGTTGTTTAAAGGGTCCAACCCCATTAAAGTAAGGTAGTTATCTATAGACACTGAAAAACGTGTAATTTAACAACAATGTATCATGCACCTGCTCGTTTCTTTACTTTCGAAAATAATTATTTAGTGAGTCAATGTAATAATATGAAACAAAATGTTAAAATAATATTATTTACATTTTAAAAATACGTTATAAGAATTTAGAAAATTCAAATATTTGCTGTTGTAGTAAATAATTTAATATTTATATGAATAAGTAAATATAGTTCAGAACTAAACTATGTACATATACATCAAAACTCCTAATAAATTTCGTTTAATGGTTAATCTATAGTGAAATAAGACGTTTTATACATTATTTTTTATTGAAAATAAGAATGTAATTGGTGACTATGAAATAAATAATTTGAAATTAGTGATTTATGAATTTTATAGTTTTTTTTTCGTTATTATTATTACGATTGTTACAGTATAATAATGTATCTAATATAATAATTAAGGACGAGTATAATGTATTTTTTATATAATAGAATATAATAATAATAATAATAATAATAATAATAATAATAATATAATTATTCTTTAGATAATATAAAAACCAGGAGTATTATTACCATTATTATGCTCAGACTATTGAGACATAAAGTCCAAGGAGTGTAATGCTTTTATATTATAAATATTTTTTTATGATGTGTAACATTATATTAAATTGTTTAATCTCTATAAACATTGATTAAATGTCATCACATGCATTG